CTCGTGTCATTGAGTTACCTCAATTGTGGGTATGTTCTTGCAGCGCCAAGTGTTAGTTATGTGTGTGATACCTATTAGCCGTCGAACCATCAAGTGTTGGTCGACACAACGGGGATTAGCGTGCCGGCAAGCACGTGAAACCTCGGAAGAAAAATTGTGTATCACTTGTCTCTTGGATTTCTCCCGGTGATTGATTGGGCATTCATTGATTGGTTCATCTCCCTTGCCACGGCGGTATAATCTTCCGACACACTCTCTTGTATTTACATTGTTTACATTCTTGCCTAATCAAGCTTTTTAGTGTAGTTAGTCTTTGAGAGCTTGTTAGTTTGGTTAGTGAGGCTCTTTAGTTAGTCTTTGAGAGCTCACTAGCTTAGAGAGTAGTGACTTAGCCTTTGTGTGAATCTAGAGATCATAGCAACTAGAATTATTGGTATAGGTGGCTTGCAACCCTTGTAGAGCTAGAGCAAAATTATATTACGTCATTTAGTGTACTAACCTTTTGTTCTAGTGACTTTATAGAAAAAAATTTATAGGCTATTCATCCCCTCTCTAGCTATTTAGAACCTTTCAATTGCCAACTTATGTTAAATCAACAATCAATTTGATCATTTTGGTTTAGCATTTTTGCGTTCCAATTTTAGCATTTTTAGTGCTCTCATGATCGACCAATGATGATGTTATCAATCCATGATTTGGTAGTAGAGGATGGGGTTTCAACACTTGTTTGTGTATGCTTAGATAACCACATCTACATTTCAGTTGCCTGAAACTTGGAGTGCTCTCAGGTGACCAATCAGGCACCTCGTTTATTGTATACACGATGTACCACTGCTAGCTTTTATTTCCTTTAGATTCAGATTAACTGAAATCTATTTCCTTCAGATTTAGATTAGTAATTAACAATGAGAGAGAGAGATCTCTAGTTACCTGCAGCATATTACATGGACATCTTTTTTTGTTTGCCTTTATTTCCTTTAGATTCAGATTAACTAACAAATTAAAAACCTCATTTAGATTTAGATTACTATTGACATTCAGAGACACAGAGATCTAGTAGTTACCTGCAGCATGTTACATGGACACCTTTCTTAGTAGTTGGATCCCTATTGGATGAACATATATAAGCTATCTTGAGTTTTTGCTTCCTTTGTTTTGCTGCTTCTTTCATCCCTCTGCGTGCAGTGTGTGATCAATTTTTCTACTGTTCTTTGCCATCTTTAGAAAACCTCCTAGTCATTTATGGCCTAATATGTTGGAAACTGGTCTCTCTGCGCATGTGAGCAGCAGCAGCTCACTCACCCTCTCACGGCTCACAATTAGAGGTAGAAGATGAACTTGAGCACAGAATGCAGCACCAACACGCCTCTGTTGGTGCAGCAAACTGAACTGCTTTCCATTGCTAAACAAGTTGATTGATATATATACATCTCTAGACAACTGTAACCACATCTAGTATGCCTGCTACTACTATATCCACTACTAGCTACAGCTGGCCAGTATCGGGCTGAGATCAGCCACTACTTACAGCAATACTGCTGCCAGGTTGTTCTGTAGATAGAGAAGACAACAAAGATGACCTATTGTCAACTTTTTGCTGCAGCAAAGGTGGAGTGTGCAGCAGACTACATGAATCCCAAACATGCATTGGTGCATGTTCTAAGTGTAGACGAGCAGTAGAGAACCACCCAAAATGTGCATGTAAATTTAGTTAAGCAATTTAATATCATTAGTTAGGTAAGTTATTAGTAATCTGGTAGCAATTATGTGTGTCCAACACAAAAATACGCCTATAACCTTTGTTAGACCAGAGCAGAATTAGCTAACAGCAGTGCGAAGCATACTTTTTCTGCAAAGGATAAAAAAAGGAAAAAAAATAGGTGTAAGTAATAGAATGACACCCCAAACCTAAATTTTGGACAAAACCCAAAAAAAAAGTGAAAGTAAACAAGTGGAATGGGCCTCCACAAGATTGATACAAGCTTGTGCAGGCCCACAAATGGATGGGAGAACGAGTAGAGAGTTAAGTAACCATATAAGCAACAAAAGGGGTGGCCTTTTGACTAGTAAGAATATGCTAAATTGTCTATTTAGAAAGACACTGTTGCCTAACGAATGACACTTAAATTGCCTAAAAAATGCAATCCACTACAACATTATCAGCCGTAACCTGCTCATCACCAATAGAGGCTCCAGGAACATACTCTATTCTTGTTTCTTCAAGCGATAGCCTAATTTCAGACATAGTAGGCACATCCTATTGGTCTGGTAGTTGCTGATGGCTGCACAGGATTCGTGAACAGTATATAAACAGTAACCGGAGCGTTCTCAGCGCGCGGAACCTAGGCGCTATATGGAGTTACATATTGGGTCAGCTGCATCTGTTGGCTCTTGAAACATTGCACCTAGGAAATCATAGTCAAATTCTGGTGGAGGGTTATTTAAGTCCATAATGCTTGTGCTATTCTCGCCTAAAATGAAAAGAGAATGTGTTAGTGCAATGATATTTATGTTTTTAACACAAGGCATCAAGAACAGTACTTATTTGAGCAACATAGACACCGCAAATAAGCAATAATACTGCTACTATCATACAATAATAATAACAATACTTATTTGAGCAACATAGGCACCTGAAATAAGCAATAATACTACCACTATCATATAATAATGTCTTCTCAAATAGACAACATAAGGTTTTTATTTTTTAACATATGCATATCCTTTTTTATCTCCATCTAGCAACAAATTTCTGACACATGTTATCCTTTTTTGTTAACATGCAGGATGCAGGCCATTTACAGAGAAGCAAGATGCAGGCCATGTACAGATAAGCTGCGCAAATGTGTGTCATCCCTAGGGACTAGATGTATAGTGTTATGTTTTAGAAACTGCAGATGCAAATGTGTTCTGAGATGGGATGGCAGACAAAAAAAAAATCAATCGGTCTTATGAGAAGCTTAATGCATGTTTTTTTTTCTGAATACATTGCCCTTTTTGTGAACGAATACATGCAGTACCTAAAAGCATGTCTGCTTTAGATAAGCAAATGTGTTCTTCTGAGATGGAGCATTATGAATACTTTTTGAGTGCAAATCAGCTCTCATACCTGATTGATCGTGGTTTTCTTGGGTTGTTTTGCGGCTGCCTGCGAGTTGGAGGTGCCGTCCAAGGAAGCCTTGTAGGAAGCCAGCGACTGATTTGCATTTTCCCATAAAATGTGGTCGCTATCTGGGCCTGGGCCACGCAAGCTGCCAATAGTTTCGGTTGCATTTGTATCCCTTGCGGCGCAAACAAACCAATGTTGATTAGCATTTTTTCCGAAAATGGAATATAATAAATGCACTTACTATAAATGGGAAGGCCTTTTTTATCCACGAGGTCATATGGAAAAAAAAGTATTTTTAAGGTATGTTGGGGAAACACATTGCAGCTATTGAATTGGTGAAATTTAAACTTGTACATTCCTGCCAAAAGAAATACGTCTGTGCAAAAAACTTGTTGGGACATTTATTTTTGCAAAGAAATGAATTAACAAATGCATATAAATAAACAATACATCATGGTGTTGGAAATATATATAGTTCACGGAGTGAGTGGGCGGACAAAAGCAAAGCAGATCCAGAGCGTAGGCACGGGCGCACGGCCAATTGCCAAACGCAGTGGGCTAGGAGGCCAGGCCAGGCCGGAAATAAAACAAACTCTATCTATATTATTATATATATATAAATATACTTCCCTCCGTTTTTATTTTTTGTCACTGGATTTTTACTGTAGCATTTTGATCATGCGTTTTTTCTGTAAAAGATTTTTAGATACATCAAGTTTTCACATATATGATTCTTCATTTTACATACTTGATTAATGTTATATACTTTAAAGTATCTAAGATTTTCTAGAAGAAAAAAACGGCTGGTCAAATCTACTGTAGTAAAAGATTGGTGAAAATTAAACAAAAACGGAGGAAAGTATATATATATATATATATATATATATATATATATACGTTGGGAAGAAATAAATAAAAAAAATGGGGCATACAGTACGTATACTGTGCTGTAGGGTCATGGGTTGCCGACAGCAGCACCACCCACGGAGGCACGGCTTTTCTTTCTTTTGTGGCTATGGTTGTGTGTGTGACAGTGAGTGAGAGAGGAGAGGGAGGCGCATCAACTTTTAAATGAAAGGTTGGTGGTGGACCCTGAACCTGAAACAGAGGAGGAGAAACGACGAGTCCACTTCTCCGGGACCGGGAGGATGGTAAACGAATGATTTTTTTTATTTATTTTTTAATGAAAGGTTGGGAAATTGTCCTGTTTGCTCAGATAAATTTAGAGAAATTTATAAGAGCGTGAAGGTTTTCGCACCAGCCGAACGCCCCCAAAAAAAAGAAATTGGTCCAACACAAGAGTCCTACTGCTACCGTAGCAGCAAGCAAAACTGCAAAAGCAACGGCGAAGAGCCAGGCAAAAGCAGCAAGCTTTGGCAATTGCCATTGCTGATTGGTCCCCCGGTCCAGCACGGGCCTTTCTTTCCCTATCCATCGAGTCTATCCCCTGCACGCCAAGGCCAAGAACAAGGCCCCGATTCGATTCGAAAACCCTGCTCGCTGCCGGCTGCCTTATCTAATCTACTAATCTGCAATTCCCCATTCCCTCCCTTCCCTTGACAAGTTGCCATTCACTGTTTTACATGCATGCTGCAGCCTGGAGAGGGAGGAAAGCAGAAGAAATCCCTTGTCAACTCCATCTCCATCGTCCGGCTCTGTTCCTCTTATCCTGTATTCGGTTTCTTTTTTTCAACCTAAACAATATTTTTCTCTCACAATAATTCAGCCGGAACTGTATTTTTCAGCCAGTTTCGATCAGGTTTCATGGCCAGCGAACGGGTAGCATTTTTCGTCTGATTCATCTCTCTCTCTCTCTTTTCTTCTCACTCTTGCTATCTCTATTCTCTGCAGCTTCATTTCCTTCATCGCTGTAACAGTATCCACTGCTGCGATGGCAATGCAGATGTCGCCGCCGCCGCCGCCTCTCCCTTCCCTCACCCTCTTCCTCTGCCTCTCGCTTGCGCTGCTACTACCACCTCGCCCGGCCTCCGCCGTCTCCTCTTCCCCGTCCTTCTCCCTCGACTTATTCCCTGCCGGGGCCGCTATCGCGCAGCTCGCCCTCTCCGGCGGCGCCAGCGCCAATGCCACCTCCGGCGCCGTCTCCATGCCCATCCCCGGCGCACGGGTCCAGTACAGGACACCCATTGCCGCGTCCGCACTCCGGCCCGGATTCTCCACCTACTTCTCCTTCGCCCTCCCTTCCGCCCCTTCCTCCTCCCTCGCCCTCTTCTTCACGCCCTCCGCCGGCTCCGCCTCCCGCTCGCCCCCAGCGCTCGCCCTCGTCTTCTCCGCTCGCCACGTCCGCCTCGACCTCGCCGGCCGCACCGCCCTCCGGACGGAGACACACCATCCCGTTCCCACCACCCCAAGCCTCCAGCTGCTGCACCTGCACGCCTGGATAGACTACTACCACACCAACTCTTCTTCCAGTTCCACCACGGACACGCTCCACGTCCGGCTCGCCGCCACGCGCATCCCCACCACCAACCATCACTCCACCCCGCCGCTGCTCTCCTACCCGCTCCATCTGCCCCCCGTCCTCCGCAGGGGGGCATCCTCGCCGGATTCCGGACCTCCTCCGGCAACTGCACACTCTTCACCTGGGCGTTCCGGGCAGCTCCCAACCGGATGCACTCCCTGCCGCTCAACCCCGCGGACCTGCTCACCACGCCGCCGCCAGAGCGCGTCGCCAGTGCCCGCGCGCCCGCCCTCGACCGCCGCTACAGCAGCCCCTGGGGCGCGGCGCTGTCCCTGCTGCTCGCTGCCGCGGCCGGCGCAATGCTCACCTTCATTGTTCTCTTCCTCTGGTATTCCGTGGCCAAACGCCGGCCCGTCGCGCCGGTGGAGTACCCCATGCACCCCTCGCACCTCGTCTACGAGAAGATTGTGCTCGTCGGGGTCAAGGACGACGCCGCGGTTGCCGATTCCGCCGGGAACTAGTAGATGCTCCCAACACCACCGACACCACGCCTTCTCTTCTGCTGGTAACATCAACCAAGCAAGTAGATGCTGCCTTTCACTTTTTTTTTTCTTGCTGTATTTTTTTTTCCCACTTCACTAGTTCACTTCTGCTGCATTTGCGATCGTGTTGTAATTACTTGTAGTAATAAAGTAGTAGTAAGTACCATCAGCCCATCGTGGTGGAAACTGCAGATTTTGCCTCCCAAACACTACTTGGCAAACTCTGCACTTTCCACCCAGATTACCTTCAATTAGCTAGCTACAAGAGTGCTTCTTTTTGTTTTTTGTGATCTTTGTTCCTAATCAACTGGTAACACCGTTGGTACTGATGTATTTCCTTTCTTGCATTAATGCTGCTTAGTAATTTTGTTTCTGTACTTAATAGTTGTGTTTCACTTCTTCGCTCTAACGAACAAAACTGATCTTTCTTTTCCTTACATATAAATGCATACTAATCTTCACCATAAATTGGTTCAATCGCCAATTCACCATGGCTTCGTATTATACTGCTTTGAAATGGTAGCATTCTTCTGTCTCGCTACATATCCTACGCTGTGGTCAGGTCATGTTAGTATGTTACAGTAAGTTTCAGCACATCCATAAATCACGGTTGGGCTCTTCTTTTCCCTCCTCGTTGGAAACTCGTGCATCACATGTTTCTCTATTCATATTCCTTCTGCAAGACCTCGTCTGATAGACATCAACTCCAAGTTGCTCTGTCTTCTGTGGTTCATCAACAACTAGTTTTGGCCTACTAGTGGTATTAGCTTTTGATGTAGTCTCAAAGCAGCTCCAGCTCCAAGTTTGACCATGTTGATAGATCTCTCTCAAGTTGCCAACAAAGTGGGGGTAAAGTCCAACTTGGAGCAAGTGACCTGCATTTCATATTGCTGGATAAGGCTAAAGATTTGATTTGGGCTTCTTTCGGTTAGCCAAAGTGACTTTGCATTATGATACTGCATGGGTGGAGATACGAGGACTATATATAAGTTTTCATAGTGCTGCTTTCAGTTGGGACTTGGGAACTACAAACAGAATATGGAATCCATGGTTGCTCTTACCTTTTTCTTCCCTTTTCTTTCTGCGGTAATAATTGGGCACCTGAATTTTTCGGTTCATTGTGGCTTCATTTCATGCTGCCAAAATCATGGTGCAAGTGTATTTTTCCAATCCACGAAGTTCAGGTGAGTAGCTGAATTGCCTTTAGTTGGGATTGTTGCCTTTTGGAACCGGATGCTGCTGTTATTAGTGGACCAGAGATATATGTATGTTATATACTCTACAATGTCAGCTGGGTGTGGTCATCAGTAGTCATTAGTCTTGACAGCTGCTGGACATGCTATTGTACATTTGTACAAGAGTATATGCATCTGTTGGAGAAAATTGTTTACCTTTTGAATGGTGTGTTTTTTGCACCGTGGCATAATGAATGCTGTAATATTTGCTTTGGCCCTTGTTGTGACTTGTGAGAATCACATTCAAGCTCCAGCATGGATGATGTTGGTATCTCTTGGGTGTACCCAAAAGGAATAACCTTCTTCTAGGACATTTCATTGGGTTAAGAAGATGAGAAAGCACCTTTCTTTCTAGAATAACAGTGCCTTTTGGGAACTAGAAAACAGAATATGGAATCCAGGATTGCTCTTAGCTTTTTCTTCCCTTCTCTTTCTGTACAAGTGTCTCCAGGGTGGAGAGATATTTGACCCCTGAATTTTTTGGTTCATTCTTGCAAGAGCATTTTTGCAACCAACAGTCAACAAACAGAATCCAGGTGAGTAGCTGACCAGAGATTGTATGTTTTATATTCTATACAACGTCAGCTGAGTGTGGTCATCATCCAGTACGAGAGTGCATCTGTTGGGAGAAAACTGTTTACCTTTTTAATGGTGAGTTTTTGCACTATGGCATGATGAACCGCCACAATATGCAAGATGATGTAATGTTTGCTTTGGCCCTTGTGTGCTGATGATCGGAAGAGCTGCGGCTGCACAGTTTTAGCTACAGTATCGCGTAGGTGTTTAGCTGCAGCCGCCGTGCCTTGAAGCAGATGAGAGCCATTGATGTTGTATTTTTTTGTCCCTCCTGGGTGGTTGCTATGGCTCTTCCAAATTACACGACGTTATAGTTTTTCTAAATATGTAGATTTTACTATAATTGTAGACAGTGTATAAAAAGCTATATGTATCTCCAAAAGCTAAAATGTTTTATAATTTGAAATGGAGGGAGCAGGATGCTGGTTACATATTTTTTTTAAAAAAAATCTAGCGTGATGAGTGGGCATCTGAAATGAGTCAAATATTCCTGGCATGGATGATGAATGGGCGGCCACTAGTGAGCCCTGACTTTGGTAAATGCTTCTGCAGGATGGGCTTTCTTGATCCTGAGCACTGCACACAGGCTAACAGGCACTACTACAGAATGAACTTATTGTCCCGGTCGGTAACGGCCTTTAGTCCCGGTTACCGCACCGGGACAACAATCCCGGGACTAAAGGTGCCACCTTTAGTCCCGGGTCATCGAGTCGAGGCTAAAGAGGGACCTTTAGTCCTGGTTGGTGTTACCAACCGGGACTAAAGGCCCTTCAGCCGAGCAAACGTGGCCGCACCCTTTAATCCCGGTTGGTAACCCCAACCGGGACTAAAGGTTCCTTTTCTTTTTCTTTTTTGTTTTGTTTAATTTGTTTTCAGTTCAGTTACACGTATTTGTTTAATATATAATATGTTTTTATGTACGTATTCTACTCTGCTAATATAAATACACGCACGCATATAATTACATCTAATTCTCATCTCGAGCATTATTATATTCGAATAAAGTATGAACCTATATATATTATATATATATATATATGTATATATACAACACTTTCATAATCTTGTTCTCGAAAATAACGATATCAATAAACATTTAATTTATATCATTTATTCCTTAGGATCAAAGTAGAACTCGCGTTGGGATTTAGCATTTTTCTAGAAGAAATCCTCGCTATTGACTCTTGAACCGCTTTCGGATGGTCTTTTGCATGACCCTTTGTTTCAACCATTCAGTCTTGCATTTGAAATAAAAGGAAAAGTATTAATATATATATATATATATTCATTTAAAATAAATAAAAATTGATATATACGTTACTCGAGGACATCTTTAGGAGTTCTTCTTATAAAAGCGCAGATGATAAATTCACAAACGTAGTATCCACACAAGTTATTATCTCGATGGTCACCAGTAAACACCACCAGTATTTGAGAAAAAGATTATTCTCATCATCTCACACGTAAATTGAAGTACGATATAGTAATTAAACACGTGGGGAAGTGTATATAGTACAACTTACTGATATTTCAACTACATTAAGTGGTGCCTTGCAATCCTTGCGATGTTGCCGAATAAACTCTTTCCAAACCCTGTGCGACCAATAATGTACGATCGTTAATAAATTATGGCAAAGTCTATTCACTAATAGTTGTGCGCGAGAGATCGAAATTACCCCTGGATAATGTCTATCATATCTTGGTATAGTGCCCGCTCTTTTCTCAACGAGTCAAAGATTACTAACCGACTTGAGTTTAACTCAATGACAATGAGTATCCAATGAAAACTGCATTGGTTTATACACACACGTACATGCATATAAGTTGTATTGATATTACATAAAATGTGTAGACTACATTATTATTAATACTTACTCAAAGTTGTACGGGAAAATTATTGTTGTCTTGTTGTGCTGCTTCACGAAGAACATCATGATATTCTCCTGTGCTTCAGATACCCACCGCTCCTTGATAATAATACCGGTTTTGAATACGATATAAGGATCAATGAAGCCAACACTAGTGTCTTGTATTCTTTGGAGCTCTGACATCTGGAATCTGTATATAAATATAAGTTACATGTGAGAATAATTATATACACGTACGCATGGAAGTGAGTTTATTAAATAAAAGTAAGAATCACTTACAAACAAAAGGAGCTAATGATTGATTTGTCCAGAGCGTCCAAGTGGTATAGTTGATGCAATTCTTCGAAACTAATATGTAAGATGTCATCACCACGAAAGTAATGATGGTCTCTAAATCTGACAAAGATCCACTGCTCACCCCTGCCACACGCCTGCATGTACCACTTGTTGAGCAAGTACATTTGCGTACCCAATTTATTCAGAGCCGCAGGGTTGTACAGACTTTTGCCATATTTATAAGTCTTCCAGGTATCAACTTCCAGGTTCTGGATTGGAGCTTTGCCCGTCAATTGATCCAAGGTTAAACCAGTATCTTTAAAAAAAAGCATTAAGGGCTTGAACCGACACTTCTCCAGAGTTGTCTGGTCGATAGACTTCTATGTTGGAACCATATTCATTAGCAACAACAAGATTTTGCATTGGTTGCTTCTGTTGTCCGAGCTGTGGGACATCCTTCCCCGATGCTCTTTTCCTTTTCTTATCTCGCATCATGTGACTTCACGAGGGAGCGGGTCATAGTCCGATAGTGGCGAAGGCTTACGAAGTTCAATCATCTTTTTCTTGTGAGCATCGACCTTCCGCCTCAACACATCTCGTGGTATGTAAAAAAAGTACGGCTTCTCCTTAAGCTTCGCTTGACTCTTGTTTTTATATCTATAAAAAATCTTTCACTTTTTTGTCTTCTTCACCGCTATTTGCTCATCGGTCTTTTCAGAAGTATTTCTTGAGAAATAACTCTTTTTCTCGGGGTCTTCTTTGTCACGGGACCTTAGACGCCTTTGTAGTGCGTCATTGTGGGGGGGGGGGGCGGTGTTGGAGACCGGCGTGGAGGCGATGAGGCCGGTGTTGGTGGAGACCGGCGTGGAGGCGTTGGAGATCGTTAGGAGGCGGTGGGGCCAGTGTAGAAGTTGGAGATCGTTGTGGAGGCGATGGGGCCGGTGTAGGAGTTGGCGATCGCCGTGGGGATGAAGTCGTCTCGCCCCCCGCGACGCTGTGATGAGATGGGGAATGAATGATTAGG